CTGTAAAGAAGTTCCTTCTCAAGTTTAAGTGAAACCTTCTGTGTTTCAGCTTGCACCCATTGCCCCTTGTCCTATCATTGGTTGTAACCGAGAAAAGTCTAGCTCCATCCTCGTGACATTCACCCTTTACATATTTATAAACATTAATGAGTGTCAGTCTCCTCTTCTCCAAGCTAAAGAGACCCAGCCCTCTTCTCCAAGCTAAAGAGCCCCAGCTCCCTCAGCCTTTCCTCAGAAGGGAGATGCTCCACTCCCTTCATCATCTTGGTGGCTCTGTGCTGGACTCTCTCCAGCAGTTCCCTGTCCTTCTTGAACTGTGGGGCCCAGAACTGGACACAATATTCCAGATGCGGCCAGATGCGAAACTTCCTTTCGCTGCAGGAAGTTTTATGGTGCAGGATGGATATGCTGTATTGTTTAATATCTTCATCAGAGACATAGACAGTGGGATTATGTGCACCCTGAACAAGTTTATGGGTGACACCAAGCTGAGTGGTGCAGTTGATACAGTTGAGGGAAGAGATGCCATCCAGAGGGACCTTGACAGGCTTGGGGAGGGAGACCATGAGAACCTCATGAGGCTCAACAAGGCCAAGCGCAACATGGGTTAAGGCAACCCCCAGTATCAGTACAGGCAGGGGGATGAAGGGATTGAGAGCAGCCCTGTGGAGAAGGACTTGAGGGTACTGGTGGATGAAAAGCTGGACACGAGCTGGCAATGTGCACTTGTAGCCCAGAGGCAAATAACCGTGTCCTGGGCTGCATCCAGAGCAGCATGGGCAGCAGGTTGAGGGAGGGGATTCTGCCCCTCTGCTCAGCTCTCCTGAGACCCCACCTGCAGTGCTGCCTCCAGTTATGGGGTCCTCAGCAGAAGACAGACATGGAGTTGCTGGAGTGAGTCCAGAGGAGGCCACTAAAATGATCAGAGGGATGGAACAGCTCTGCTATGGAGAAAGGCTGAGAGAGTTGGGGTTGGAGAAGCCTGGAGAAGAGAAGGCTCTGGGGAGACCTTATTGCAACCTTTCAGTACTTAAAGGGGGCTTTTAAGAAAGATGGAGAAATACCTTTTTTTCAGGCCTGTAGTGACAGGACAAGGGCAACAGTTCTAAACTTAAAGAGCGTGCGTTTAGATTGGACATAAAAAATAAATTTTTTTACAATAAGGGTGATGAGGCATTGGACTAGATTGTCCAGAGTTGTGATGTGGATGTCCCATCATTGGAAGTGTTCAGGGTCAGGCTGGTCAGGGCTTTGAGCAACCTAATTTAGTGAAAGATGTCCCTGCCCATGGCAGGGGGGTTGGAACTAGGTGATCTTTGAAGGTCCCTTCCAACCCAACTGTTCTATAATTCAATGATTTTGTGATGTGTCATCCCCGGTGCAAGCCCAGTGACCTGTGTTTGTGACCGAAGCAGTGCTTTCCAGGTGCTGTAGAGAGGAGATGACCTTGTAGGACAGGGACAGGCTATGGCAGGATGGTCTGGCTCAAGCATTAAGGTACCCTGAAGTCCAGCACACTCCTTTCCTAGCAAAGCCAACGCTGAAATCACATTATGGGATCAAAGAATGAAGCTTGGCAGTTTCTTTTGCCATCTTACACCAAGGATGACTCCAGCACAGCAGATGAGTGACTCACTCCTGAAACATGAGGATTACAGCTCCATGCTTCCCACTCACCGGGGATCACCGTGCCACGTCCCCTCCAAGCAATGCTCCCCTGCCCGTCCCTCTCTCCCACTGCTGCATAGCCAGTGACCATATTTCTCCTGACAAATTCATTTTAGGAGAGAATTCCCCATTTTGGGAGAGACATACAACCTCGACTGGCTATTGGTGCCCATGAGGAGAGACCATCCCTTCCCCAAAATGCTGCAGCAGTCAGAGGCAAGGGGAGGTGACACTTTTCCCCCATAGGAGAGCCCAGGGCCAGAGGGTGCTTAAAGCAGCACCCATTTTATCCATTTCATCACCAAGCTCTGATGTTGAGTTCATGCAGCATGAGGATGAAGCTTGGAAGAAGATGGGTGCTTTTTTTTTTGTCCCTTAAGAACCTTTCCTGAAGGATGCTGTTTAAATGGCCCGATTTAGAGGGGTCTCCATCCCCCTGCCTCTCTCTAGGGCTGTGTTAGGGGGGCCCAAAGCATCCTTTTGGGGCTGTGTGTTCACTTTCAAGCCCATGTGTTGCAGCAAGCTGGATTTCAGCACCACATCAGGTCCTGAGATTTCAACCATCTCCAAGCCACCTTTTTTCAAACTTCTTACAAAGTGGCTTTGTGCTCCCAAGTGCTGGATTTAGACAGGAGCTGGTGGGGGGGAAGGATGGAGTTTGTGGTTCCTCAGACCTCAGTGCAGTTATCTGAACAGGGAGGAGGCAGGCAATGGCCACCACGGTCCACGGGGGGCAGGAGGCCATGGGGACCATGTTGTAGGTGCTCCTGAAGGCTGAATCCGTCCATAGGAGATGGGAGGACCCCAGACCTGGACTGCTATGGCTGATACATCCCCATGGAGCTGTGCTGTCAACCCAGTTGCTGGCACACGCATCCACATCCATGATACCAATGTCCCAACCACCATCACCCTGAGTAAAAACCAATCCCCTGAGTTTTTCCCCAGGGTCTGACAATGTTTCTCTCTTCCCCTGACCTTGCCCCCACTTTGCAGGATTGGCCGTTCGATGATGGAGCTCCTCCTCCCAGCAAAATCGTGGAAGATTGGCTCAACTTGCTGAAGACCAAGTTCTGTGAAGACCCTGGCTGCTGCGTGGCCGTGCACTGCGTGGCTGGCTTGGGGCGGTAAGTCACAGCCCAGCACCCCGGCTGCCACCCCACCCATGAAGGAGGAAGAGGGAAAACCATGCCTGCTCTCCTCCTTCCACCTCAGAGCAGTGCTTTTGGGTGTAGAGGAGGCCTTAGCAGGAGTAGGCATTGACAAGCTGCCTGAGCTCCTCCTTGCATTTGTCATGGCCAAATCTTGGGCACTCAGGGAGGACCTGGGTTGCTCAGTGCTGACCTGCCAGTGCCCCATGGCAATTTTGCTTTTGCTAAGAGCTTGTCATGGAAATACCATAGGATCATAGAATGGGTTGGGTTGGAAAGGACCTTAAAGATCATCCAGTTCCAACCCCCCTGCTG